CCCAAGTTTACACCAAGCCCCCAAAGGTCATGGTGGCAGATTGCGAATGAGAGGCCATGCGAAGGTCTCCTTGCGAAGGGGATCTGTGGACTGATGGCGGAAAGCCAGCTGCACCACATGCAGGGTCGTCCCCTCCTGAATGGGCTTTTTGGAGTTTTGAAGGAGGAGACCCACAAAGGACAGCCAGTTCACAGATTAATCATGAACCTGGTGCCACTCAACCGCCCTTGCAAGAGCATTACAGGGGACGTGTCGACCCTTCCTGCCTGGCCCAATATGAACGGGTTCTATATCCAGCCAGGTGAAACACTGCTCATAAGCAGTGAAGATGTGCGGTGTTTCTTTTACCTGTTCAAAGTACCGCAAGAGTGGCGACCTTTCCTTGGTTTTGCAAAGCGGGTTCCAGCCAGACTTTGTCCGGATGAGGCCGAGCCCAACTACCTCACCTCGCTGGTCCTGCCGATGGGATTCAGCAATAGTGTGGCTTTGGCGCAACACATACACCGGGTTGTCGTAGGAAGGGCTCTTCGTGAGGCCGGTCAGCTTGGGTTTCCCGGTGGGTGGGAGGCCGAACTTCGAAAGGATAGGGCGTTGACCGTTTCAAACCCTTTGTACCGTGTTTACTTGGACAATTTTGACCAGCTTGAGCGTGTGGAGACGGACCTGGCGGCACGGATGAAGGGATCCACTACACCCCTTGTTGACAGCTTGCGCAACACCTACCAGGGAATGGAGATTCCTCGTCACCCCAAAAAGGCCGTAGAACGGCAGGTCAGGGCTGATGTCCAAGGCGCTCTTGTCGACGGGGTGGCAGGGACGGCCATTCCCAGGCCTGAAAAGATCATGCGATATATACAGCTCAGTTTGTTGATGCTGAAGGAGGGAGCTAGCGCCAAGCGGCAGATGCAAGTCGTGGCTGGAGGTTTGGTTTACATGGCCATGTTTCGTAGACCCCTGCTAGCGACCTTAAATGGGATTTGGGAGTTCATCCAAAGTTTCGAAGATCACCAAAAATACCGACAGGCCATTCCGAGCCAGGTCAAAGGGGAGATAGCATGCTTTTGTCTCCTGACCCCACTGGCGCGAATGGACTTTAGAACTCCTTTCTCAGGGACGGTCACGGCCAGTGATGCATCTTCAACGGGAGGCGGAGTGACGGCCTCCTCGGGCTTAACCCCCGTCGGGTGCATGGCAGCCAACTGCCAAGTCAGGGACGACATCGTTGAGTCCTATGACCTCCCCTGCGCCCTTACAGTGGGGCTGTTCGATGGTTTGGGCGCCCTGAGGGTAGCTGCCGATGCCATAGGTTTGCCTGCGGTGGGGCATATCAGCGTGGAAAGGCATCAACCAGCCCGAAGAGTTGTGGAAAGCCGCTTTCCTAACGTGGAGGATGTGGAGCTGGTTGACGCAGCAATGGTGCACGAATGTGCTTGTCGTTTCTCTCAGGTAGCAGTCGTCATCCTGGGAGCGGGGCCACCCTGCCAGGGGGTCTCTGGGCTTAATGCAGATCGGCGTGGAGCACTCCGAGATGAAAGAAGCTGCTTATTTTCGCACGTCGACCGGGTTCACGACCTACTTCGTATGGCATTCCCTTGGGCGCAAGTACACAGACTCATGGAATCCGTGGCTTCCATGGATGAAGCAGACCGGAGTATAATGAGCGAATCGGTTGGGGACCTTCCCTGGCTGATTGACCCCGTGCATATTTGTGGAGCTCGACGACCGCGACTAATTATTTTGGCCGTCGTGGGAGGTGCTTGAAGGCGACGGGGTCCGCATCTCCTCGGCCCGAGACAAGGGATGGCCGCCATGGGCCAAATAGAACTGACCTGTCCGCTTGATGTCAATCAGTTCCTAGAACCAGGATGGCGGAAGTGTTCAGAGGAGCCTTTCCCCACCTTCACGACGTCACGGCCACGTTGGACGCCGGGGCGCAAGCCCGCGGGACTGCAGCAATGTGATGAACAAACCCGTCAAGACTGGGCCACAGATCTGCACAACCCTGCAGTCGTTAACAGTCCAACCGCGGACGCGAGAGCGCTACAACAAGGCGCTAGAAGGTTTCTGGGCGTTCCTGCGAGCTGAAAACAGAGTCATCCCAAACACACATGCTGGTATTGATGCTCTACTCCAAGTCTACATAGAACATTTGTGGAGCGAGGGCTATGGACGTGCAAGCAAGTGACACAGTTGCTGCCTTGCAGGACGCACAACCACAGGTCACGGGAGCTCTTCGGGGAACCTGGAGGCTCCTCAAGGCCTGGTCCATGAATGAGGTGCCAAACAGGGCACCCCTTCCGGAAGAAGCCCTACAGACCATGGTCGGGTATGCCATTTTCAAAGAGCAGTATTTCTTCGCGCTGTCCCTCCTCGTAGGGTTTTATGGCACCTTGCGCACGGGAGAGCTTTTGAACTTCCGTTCTTCTGATGTTAGCATACATACCGTCCATGGCCCGGGAGGATATCCCTGGGATTGACAAAAGGGGGCAAAAGACAAGGCGCTATGGAAAGCGTCGCAATGACTGCAGAAGAGCCTCTGCGCTGGCTCTATGCTTGGGTGTCAAACAGCAAACCTCGTGAGCAACTTTGCCCATCTCCTGCTAAGTGGAGACAACTGTTTAATGCCACAGTAGAAGCTTTAGGCTATGCAGAACTTGGTTTTAGACCTTACTCCCTTAGGCGGGGGGGGGCGACTCATCTTTTCCAAAAGTGGGGCAACCTGGATCGCCTCATGATCTATGGGCGTTGGCAAGCCGTCAAGACGGCTAGGACCTACATTAATAGTGGATTAGCGGCCATCGCCGAAATGAAACTGCCTCGAAGTACAGCAAATCGTCAATTTCGCAATATATTTTTGAATTCAAGACAATCCCCCTTGCCGTCGCTTGAGCCTACCAGAGGTAGGGCAGGGGGCGGTGGAAAGAAACGCAAGAGAACAAAGAGGCGCGAGGGAGATCGCAAATTTCTTTT